TTTTTTTTGTAAATTTCAGTGATTTAAAGTGATACTTTTTCCAGTACAATATGTTCTATACATATATATTTGATTGCTCAGTTCCTTTTCTGTACAAAAGAGCATATAACTTGCTCCTTATAATATAAGGGAAGTTTGATGTTCGATCGCAAGTTGACACTGTGAATTCCATGTGAATGCTGTCGGATTACCGAAATTAAAGCTATGTTCAAATAAAGTTTTCACAGTATCTAACAGACGGGGTGGTGAAATCTTGTAAAATTAAAGCAATGAAGAGAATATAAGCTAACAATGGACAGTATAGCACAAAGGCATCTATCTCAATATCTACACCATGGACAATGATGTCCATTTTACCTATACAATGGACAATGCCAGAGAGTAATCATACGTGCATGATAACCTTGATGGAGCTTACAAAATCCGAAACAGTCAAGTTTTTACAATCAAGTAGACAACACATCCTCTTACAGTTAAGCAGACAATGCACCCTCTTCGCATATCTTCCACGACTGAACTACAAACAACGACATCTTCGGATATCCGCCACCACTGGACAGTCTGTACTCCCAACTCAACGACCTATCAATAACTAACGGTCAAATTATTGTCGAAGGCAACGACAAGGAATTTGCTAGTTGGTCATACTGCTTGCTTATCGTATAACTCATTTATCACTGCTTACCAATTCACCGCGTAATATATACATATATATTTTACATCCTTTTTGTTGTTAATTAGTAACATTGTGCAAAAACAATATTACATTCCGAAGAAATTTATATCGCTGAAAAACGAATTCAATAGATTAGCTTTTCCAACATATGCATTTAATTTCTGTTTCAATCTTATTGAAAGAAAATGAGAAAAACAATAATTCCAAGTAAGACTTAAATATGTAGAAAGATCCCAAATTCAAGATGGGAGAGACAGGGAGGTGGGGTTGATGAATCAAAGCATGCATGAATGATGAGCTCCAGTGCGTTTAACATCATTTTCAAGCTTTTGGGATTGGGTTTTCGCTTTTGTTAATTTGCGGCAATTGATCTTGATGCCGTTATGAGACGTAAATAGCAATTTGTGGCAGTAATCTATGTTTCAGTTGGGAAGGATTTTAATTGTGCATCCGGACTAGCTCGGGTGATTTGACATGTTCGCTTGCAAGGTAGTGGGGAGTCGTGCTGTGAGAGTGTTTTTACAAATCCTTTGCTTTCCATACCTTTCCAGCGATATCCAGTTGAACTGCTGATACCAAACTATTTGAGTAAAACTACTTCAATTTCGAGGTGGTCATTTGCTTTTCGTATTTTTCCAGTGGCAGTGGTTTTTAACTGATGAAGTGCTGTTCCGGAAAGTATTTGCTAAAACTTCGCCAACAACGGATTTGGTTTTCATTGGTTAACCGAGCTGTACTCGAACGGGAATCTTTTTGGAACTCGTTAAGCAATTATAGCATGGAGATGCCCATGGGAGCGCAACGCTGTCTTGCTTCCTACTCACTGTTTTTTCAGATGTTCTCTGATGCTTATTTACGAATACATCTCCATCACCTGTCTCACTTCTTTATTTACCACTTTGTCAGTTCCTCTTAATTACTGTTTTTACATATAAGTGTCTGTAGTGATAAACGGAATTTTCTCGCAAGACTTTTCCTGTACATCATCCTGTACATGGACAATTTTGTTCAAAAATACAATTCTTATTTTTGGTATATGAACCAGAACGACAAAGACAGTTTTCCATTCTTGAAATTTCACTCGCTGTTAATAAGTGCTGTTTTTTTTATGATGTCCTGTGTTCCTGGTCTCTCCAGGGGATGGAACTGATGAATGATGAATGAAAAATTCTGTAAATGACTGTTCCTGATATCATCCATCACTCTGTTGCGCAAATACTCATAATTTCTTTCCCAAGTATTCAAGTTACATCCTTCTATCTCTCCTCACCAAATTTTTTATATTCATTCTTTTTTATTGTAAAGTCACATACATTTTACTGACAATTACATATACATCATGAGGAACACTTAGTAATTCCCACATGTTCCCTTGTAGATCAGGTGTTATATACATTGCTACATTCAAATAAACATTTTTTTCAGCGAATAAACATTTTTTTCTTAGTAATTCACCACATGTTCCCTTGTAGATCAGGTGTTATATACATTGGCTACATTCAAATAAACATTTTTTTCAGCGAAAAATGAGTATGGATGACGACACGACTATTACTGATAGAGTTGTCCACTGGATTTTAACGCTTCAGTTCACTTCAAAGTCGCGGATAAGAAAAAGTAACTGAAGAAATGCCATCAAATAAATGTAATATCAGGATGGATCATGAAATGTAAAAGCCGAGAGGCACTGTCCATTAGATTCGAATCCAGTTTAAAATTTACTTGGCTTCCTAATATTTGACTGCTTACTATTAATCTGAGGCTAAAGATAATACTTTATGCGTTGCGATCTAATAATCTACGCGATAGTTGATTTGATCGCTGCTGGTAACGATCAGGAAGTCTACCAGCGGCACTTTTCTCTCTTTCATATCGGAACAATTCCATATTGATTCCTGCTCGATAAATTTTCTCGCCATGTGAAATAATTCCCGTTAAGAGTCATTTTTAAAACGATCTAATTTGTCTTTCCTACTAGTGCCAATTAAACTCAGCACCGAAAGGATTCCAGTACCAGTTCAGGCTAATTTTTTATTTTTCTAGAGCTTAGTGCACTTTTTCCTTGAATGCATTTCTTGCTATTTGAGAATACTTAGTAGATCATGAGCTATCACCTACATTTCATACTTTAACAGGTTGCTCTCTGACTGGATTGGTCAGAAAGGGATTTACACATATAAGACCATAAATGACTTTTTTATGCCATGACTAGACGTGTCAAAGTTAGAGTAGGATGCAACAAAAAAACGTATATTTGCACTGTTTTGATAAAATAAGATTGATAAGACTAAAAAAAACTACCGGAATTTAAAGGCTAAACACGTAAAGCTAAAGCTGAGAAATAAGTGTCGAGAGTCAAATATATGCAATGTCACGGATTCTGCGAGAATCAACCAAACGTTAATTTAGTATTTAAAGACTGCCTAAGAACTACACAGCACCCGTTATGACTTTTAGTTATGTCACTGCTAATAATGAGAGATATTTAATTTTTTTTGAAGACATTCTCGTTTACTGAGTGTAAAGCACTGCAGATAATATTGTTTTTTAAAGAAGAGATAGCAGATGTAGAAAATTATCCTTAAATTCATATACATTCAATACCGGGATGTAAACCTATTTGATAAATAAAAACACCCATAGACTGGAAGATGTCAGTGAGCTGCTGTAGACGACTTTACTGATATATCGTTTTTACCAAACTGGAAAAATGATGTTGAAATCCGATAACTTTGTTTCAAAAAATTATAAAATAAAGGCGCTGTAACAAGTACGACACTCCATCACCAGTAGTGTGGACATATTCTTTCTCAAAGATTGAATCTAACTCTAGATGCATGCATTCTAAACCGAAGGGGACAGTTTTACGGAATAATTACTTACCTGTAATAATCCAAAGGTAGTTCCATCAACTCCAACATGACAAGTGTGATGGACATCACCTTGAGGCTCACTTATCAACAGCTTCTTGCGGCTACTTTTGTCTTGCGTCTTTTCTTTTTCATGGGGAGAGATTTTTGAATGTGGTAAAAAGGAAACTGATGACAAGTACTGACTGCATTTGCTGTTTGGCATTTCGATGGCTAGCCTTGCAACAGTTGCTTCAGGTCTAAATAAACCTGTTCGACCATTTCGCATGTATCCACGCCAGAAATAGCCGTCTGGATATGTCGGAGGACTGAAACTCCAATCTAAATCACCAGAACTTTTATGAAAATGAGAGAGGGATTAGGTTAGAAAAATCAGAAATAAAATGGGAATATATACTCCAGATACCAGGGATGTGTTTAAGAAGTGCCATTGACAACACATACAGGAAGAAATCACGGCCCAATTAAAAAAAAGGAAAATTAACCACTAACCATCTATCGAGCACAACTATGGTTTCATTTTTTGAATACTGGAGATGGTCGATGATTCCATCACAACAAGATGTCACAGTAACCAAACACTGGGGCATGATTTCCGGAAGCTGGCGAACGATATCCGCAAAAGAAGGACGCTCTTCCGGCTTGTGAGCCCAGCATTGCATCATGAGGTTGTAAAATTCAATCGGGCACGCATCTGGACATTCTAGTCGTTGTAGATTTGGATAATCTATTGCTGCTAGTATCTAAAAAAGCTGTAGTATAGAAACCAAAACATTCGAACATTGAATGAAGGATTAACTTACTGTAGAACATTCCAACAAGCAGCATATTATTGGAGGACTTAAAGCAATGAAAAATGGAACAAAAAGAAACCTGTGCGCCAGTTAAGCCAGCCCATGGCATTTGACCGAAAGAAAATATTTCAAACAATGTTACTCCATATGACCAAACATCACTTGCAGATGTAAACTTCAGGAAATTAATGGCTTCAGGAGCACACCATGCGATCGGTAGTTTAACTGCTTCTGAAAACTCGCTTCGATAATAGTCCTCGCCCATGCCCAAAGAACGGCTCAATCCAAAATCCGAGATTTTCACCTGCAATTAGTTAATAGTTAGTTGCAGTTGGAGTTTGAGTCAATTAATTGGAGTTCTACACTCCATTCTTTCTCAATAAATATTTGAATATGTTTTATCATTGTTCCTCTCACTTATTCCACATCATATTTTTTATTTTCTAAAAACTTGCAGCTTTCATTTTCTGGCAAATAGATATAACGAAAGAATCACCCTTCCACAATCTATGTTATAAGGAAAAAAAGCCCATTTACCCTTTCAGCAGAAAAAACAAGAACATTGCGCGCTGCAAGATCGCGATGAATAAGTCTCTCACTTGACAGGTATTTCATGCCCTGCGCTATCTGTATCGAAAATTTACAAAATGTATCCACAAAGAATGTAGCACGTAAAGAGGGCTTTTGAAGACACTCCAGTAGTGATCCACAAGGTGCCAATTCGGATACCTGGACGGATGTAACTAAAGTAATTCAACACGATGCCAATATGCACATTTCAAAACTGAACAAATTACAGAAAAACTAATATAATCAGGAGTGCAGCCTTTTTAGGTGATGAATATATTTGTTGCGAAGGCACAGATGTGTTTCTCCAGCCAAAAACCCACCAGCATAACTGCTTTAGTATCCAGTACTACGCCATAAAGTCTGACAACGCATTCATGACGCATTTTGTGCAACACTGCGACTTCTTGTAAAAAATTAAGTGGATTGGCAAATAGTTTCTCCGGTAAAATACATTTTACAGCTACCTGCAACAGAGATTCGGGTTAAGCCTCATAGTAAAGTCGCTGTCATATCTGTTAGAAACATTTAAACTTCGTGATCGAAAGCCGGTAAACCAGAACAGTCCTTGGACGTGCATTCATGAATGGCCACATGCGACGTATAAACCGACACATCATATGCTATATTGAATGACCGACTTAGTGATTTGAAATCTGGTAGTAGTAAAAGCATGCATAACAAATACTTGTATTTGTTCAGTGTTATTTGAATTACTCCAAGCGGCTTGATAAACGGATCCGAACTCGCCTTTGCCCAATTGCTTGGATAAGGTAATATTTTCCAGAGGTATTACGTGCTGTTCGTGGTAACTCGGGGAATGCTGTTCTTTTTCTTCAGATTTCCTGTAAAGAATACGCAGTACATATACCTTTTATTTTATTTAAGCGCGTTAAAGAAACAGAAAATGACCTAGAAATCTAAGTTTACGATTACACCACGGTGTAATTGTGAGTAATAGTACAAACTGAGGCATTATCGTAATTGTTCAGCTGCTAGGAACTGAAATGAGACAATGTGAAAGAAATTGATGCCTTTGCCAAGGATCTTTCTTCTCAGCTTTCCCATAATCGAAGACTTGTCAAATTTCCGATAGTAAGTCGCTTGCAAACGTTTCTGTTCCGGCCTGGTCATACCAATTTTGTTCAGGTCTTTCTCATCCACATAACTCATATCGGCTGCACTACGCAACCTCAGGACTGTTCGCATAGAATGCTCATAACTGAAATAACTTGACCGAAATTACCTACACCATATTTAAGCATATTTTCTATGAAAGAAGCCCTCCTTCATCTCACATCCTGCACCAGTTCTATCATTCCCAACACTTATTAGATTCACAACTTCCCACTACCTGTTTCCACTTTATTTCATTTACATTTAACATCTGCATATAAGAAACTTTTTTGAAATTATACACAGTTTTCGATAATTCACCAGTAACATTCTGCTGATTATTATTTTGAAATGGTCTACGATGAATTTAATTCGAGTTTAACTTGATTTACTTTTGTCTAATCTCAATTAAAGCTGAAACTGGTCTATTTTAATTGGTATAATAAGTAGCAGCAACTTTGTTGACGAATCCTTAATTTATTAGTATCGACATTCATGAATTGTGCTGTTTGCAACTAATCGGAATAAAAGCAAAAGAGGGAAAAAACGTACCACAGCAAATCGGCTTCATATAATAATTCAGAAATGGTGCACTGTTCCGCCGTCATTATTCCAAACACTTTTGTTGGATTGCCAGTTGTGTAATAAGTCGATGTAATTCAGGATTTCCGCTAGATAATCGATAGCATCCTGAAAACAAACAGTCAAAAAAGCTAGAGTTATGGATCGTTAGTGGAATAAGTCGTAGCTAACTTTGGCTAGGGAGACTCCTTGAAGCCTTTACGCTTGCTGATTTCAGTGTTCTCTAATGAAAAAAAAAAGAAAAAAAAGACCTTCTTTAAAACATTAATAAGCCAAAACGAACAACTCATGGTAAAACAACCATTAGCAGAACAGGTGTGCAACGCGCCTCATACAGAATGTTCAAAACGGCAAACTGCTTGCGACTAAATGGACAACAACTTTGGCCCTTTAGAAGTCACTTCTAAATTCTTTTTTAGTTGTATTAGCTAGTTCAGAAGTGCCAAGTATTAAGCTTCTATTTTCAGGCGTTGGAAATGTCAATTGGAAGATGGACAAATCATATGGATTTCAGTTCCAATGGCCCTTCCCAAAGAATCCCAATGCTTTGTATAGATTTGCTTCGAAGGTTACTCTCATCACGGTCCTCTCAGCATGCAAACTTATCTTCTCATTAAGTATGTTTCTAATTATGCATAAATGATTATGCATAAATGGTATGATATTTCGTTCATTCGGTCATCCGAATGCAACCAGCAATCTTGTCAACAGTGATATCGTGCTCCCTTTTGGGAGATGGACTACACTTAGTGACATACTAAACGATTTCGATTATGTCGGTTCTTTCCGGATGCCCTTGTTCTGTTATTAACTGATGCCAAAGTACTTGAGGATGTAACTTCAGATATAAATCGCATATCAGTCATCAACAAAAATCGACTTCTGTCTGCTCTGGAAAATAAGTCGAGGCCATTGATCACTATATCAAATCATCGTTGTAACATGGATGATCCTTTCATTTGGTGTAAGCTTTTAATATGTGACAGAAGATGAGAATCAAATGCTGTAAATACCAATTTCATATCATTGGTTGAAATTTCATATTTAATCCTTCCGCAATTAATCTTTAGTGGTGTTTCTTTTTTCTTTGATTTCAGGTCTTTTCACCTGGCGTGAATTCTTCTCTAACATATCAAGATTTCGGTACACTTTGGCAGCGCATAACATATGCTTCACCAAAGCGTGGCATACTTTGTTAGTACATCGTTTTAGCTTTTTTTAGTTGAAATTACGTTTTAGTTATGAAGACTATCGTAAAATGCTGAATATTAGATTTCATTTACCAATATAATACGTTGTATTGCATATTCGGAGTGATAGGGACCTCTTGTTTTCTACCCGAAATATTGAGCGTATTAATCTTTTTAGAGGCTAAATTAGATGCTTTGTTTTCCAAACTTAAATTTTTAGGGTTTCATATGAATTTTATTTTTTTTCGGGTGTTAATTTGTTTCGAAAAAAAAAACCTGTTTACAGGTCAGGTTTTTGGTTCTAACTTTTCAAAGTTTTCAGATTCTTTTCATTGGGTAAATGTGTACCCATTGTTCGCGGTGAAGGTGTTTATCAAAAGGGAGTTGATTTTTGTATTGAAAAACTTGGAGAAAATCAATGGATTCATATTTTTCCCGAAGGTAAAGTAACGCCTGTTCCGATACGGATCAAATGGGGTGTAGCGCGTATGGTAGGTTACAAGTTTGTCACTGTTACTTTTCTTACCCAGATTCAATCATTTTGTTGTTATTACGCTCACAGATATTTCCACCGACCTTTTTACAGAACCATGGGAAAATAGCAGTGTGTCACTGTTTTGTCTTGGATGCACTCAGCTAAATGATCTTGTTTCTGAGATGTATAAGTAAGTGCCTCAATTTTTAGATTATGGAAAGCCCAAACCCTCCAATACTTCTACCTATATGGATACACCAAATGGCTGAGGTCTGGCCACAGTCGAAGCCATATTACCCTAGAGTAGGAAAGGTAATAAATAGAACCTTAAGTACATTTTTTAAATATCATGTTCTGTTTCACGTTACTGGAATTTTGAATTTTTTTCCATTTTGGTAAGGTTATCTGATACTACTCTGTCTAATGGCAATCTACTGAATCGCGTTCAACTGCTTAAAAATCTGCAAAAAACATTTTCATCTGACGCACTCTTATATTGCAGCATGTCACAGTAATGATAGGCTCTCAAGTTGATATGAAAGAACATATGTGGAGGTTCCGCACTGGTTCCGAATCAGAAAGGCGAAAAGCACTTGCTGATTTTGTGCAGAAAAAATTGTTTGACCTCAGTGCTCAAATTGACCGAACAAAGCCTTAGCTAATTGTGAATTAAGTTTGTCATATAGTAGGTGTGAATTAGAGACCACTTCAGGTTCACTTCAGGTTCAACACAATCTTTACCTTGTTCATCATTCCTTTGCACACTTCGCGTTTTTGATGTTCAGGAGTTAATATGTTATGCTTTTAAAAGTTTCAAGCATTATGATGTCAGGAGGTTTCTTTGGCTTGTTTCTAATAGAGTTTGTAAAAATATGACAACTGTCGTGGTTGGTACGCAGCCAAACTCTGATCATTTCGATTAGTCTACGATCAGAACGATGCGAAAATGTCGTACTTTATAGAAGCTTATTTGATAGCTTAGGAAAGCTTTGTTTGATAGCTTGTTTGATAGCTTTGTTTGATAGCTCAGAGTTCCTTATTAAAAGAAGCAGTTTATCGCGATAAAAGTGCATTCTAGTTAACTATTTGTCCAAATAATAAATTTCTTTCACAGTTGTTTGTATTCAAGAACTTTTGGTAAATTGTGTGTTTTGTAGAATATAGAATTTTATAGAAATACTTATATTCTCTGCACTTGAAGTTCTGGGAACTCCCAAATATCAAAACAAAGGATGATTTTTCAATGCACATATGTTGTTGCTTTGGGATAGCTCTTGGTCTTCGTTTCTACGGAGTAAGGTGAGGAAAGAGAAACGGACATGTGACATCGTTATTTATGCTTGTGGGAAAATTCGACAGATTTATTTTAAGTGTTCACAATTTTGTAAAAAATCTCATGAAATGATGTGGAACAATCGCTTAGTATTGAAGTGCTATGACAGATGCTTCTCAACGAAAGCTTCTTGCCCGATTTCTATGTTCGACATGTTTGGTACTCAGTTTCTTCATTGACAAGGAACGTCCACCCCGAATAAGCAAAGAACTGACCCTGGCCAATATATCAAAATCGGATTATTATAACGTAAGACGTGTGAGAGCAGGTCATTGTTCCTTCTTAAATGCGAGAAATAATTATAAAAGATATCACTTTCAGCTGCGAATTGTTGTTCTATTTATTATAAACTCGATGCAAGGCAGTGGTTTGAATCAGTATATGCAAATTCCAGAACTGTTCTGCAAGATTTTTAAAAATTTCAAAGTCACTTTCCAGAAAAGTAGGAGTGATTTGCAAGGAATGTCTATGACTGTTGAAGATATAATAGAGCAGGCGGTATGTTGAAGTGCGAGACTTGTAATAGTGCGTTGTTGTGTAGAGTATTTGTGCATGTCTCTGTGGTGAAGCTTATGTCAGGTGGCAGTTGTTTGCTAGGAATTAAAAAGTCTTGGCAGTTTTCACTGAATAACAGAAGAGGAGAAGCGCAGTTGATCCATCCATTCAGCTGACATTCAGACGAAAGAAATAAGCAGGGGAGCAAGCTTCAAACAGTTACGTTCATCCTGAACTCATCCTGTGTTTATTTGTGTGCGTCTCTGGCTGTGTTTGTGGACCAAATTCGGAGAGCTGCAAAAAGTGGACGATGGCACCTCCTGCATCCCGTAAACAAAGTATTGTTGAGGTTGCCGAAAAAACTTTTGATAAGAATACTCTTATCCTTATTGTTAACCTGCTTATCCTCGTTGTACTCACCAGCCTACTATATATGGTAGCAACCTCCGCTATGGCCTCATCTAGAAGAGATGAGCATTAGCACTGGTAAGTAATTCAGCTTTTTACTTATTCAATGTCAATCCTTCTTTGTCAGCTTTATTTCCTTAAGACATCCCAATAATTTGAAAAAATAACTTTTCAAGTTGAGTTGTGTTGCATTTTCTGAATAATTAAAACATATTCGAGGTAGTTAATGCCGTTGACTTTTCGTAATTGTTTAATGATTTTGGAATGGATGATTTCTTATCAATATTATTGAGAATATTTCCTGATACTGGTGAATACTGGACATTTCCCAACATGAACTGTCGGAAAGATGAGATGTTAACCATCCTTTCCATTTTCTTTCCGCAAAAGTCAAACAAAAATAGTATCACATCAGCAGTATCCATAAGGCAGAGTAAACTTATGGTGGAATATATTCCAGACGTTTAAACAGGTCACAAAGATATTGTCCTATGTTGGACTTTAAGTTTCAGTCGTTCAAATCACTGTTAGCCTTAATTAGCGAATAATTAGACGGAATGCTTTACATCCAAAGGCACACGAATTTGCCAAGGTTTTATGGATTACTTAAGAATTATTCTGAATATATGAGACTGTTTCCCTTACTATATCAACAATATCGGGAACTGATTTACAGATCACCTCTTCCGAATGTTGAGAAAAGTTTTGCAATGTCATATGCTGTGTAAACAGAATATCCAACAACCTTGTACGAATATAAGAAATATTTCCCCAGATATTAAGAAATCGAAACCCATACTCTGACGAATCACTTCAGAATTTTTGAAAGTACTAACAATTCATGAAATCATTAGAATCTTACTCAGAACAACCAAGTCTTGATAGTATCGGATTACATTGCGTTAACTTTCGGATCTACAAATGAACACCGATAGCAGTATCATACATTATGTACCCGAAAAATAATTCGCGATAAAAATTTGAGCAATAGCTGACTTGCCAATGAAGCAATGGTAATTTGCTTCACTTACCTTAGTTTAGCTGGGAATGTCTTTTTGATTTGCATGAAACTTCTTCAAATACACTCAAGAAAAAAAATGTTATTCATCATATTATGATATGGTGGTAGCGGCTTTGAAGATCTATGCGTAGCTACTAACCAAATTGCAAGTGTGACATCATCCCAACTCTGACGATTATTTCGCTTCATATATTTGAAGGAAAGTGAATATAAGAGATAACAATGTACTTTTTGTTAAACTGATTGGCCTTAGTAAAACAGTGATAGGACTGATTACCGCCCTTAAGTGTTTCAGTCTACGTGCATAAAACGTCCTATCTTTAGTGCAGTGAGCTAGGACAATAATTTCAATAAGCTGTGGAATTTTTAATTCACATTATCAGTGTAAAGTCAAGTGCTTATGCTTATCTGTCAGTATGTGTCAGTAGCGGGTATAAAGAAAAACATTATTTATTAAGGCTTCTTTGTAGTGGCTACTCAGTCATTCTGTCTATAACTTTATTGGATGTTCATATTCAGTCTTCAATCTCGCCTCCGTAGCAAAAATAACGAACTTCATTAATTAGGCTTGGCCCTTTCTCTTCTACAGCTTCGAAATTTCAGGATCTGGATTAGGTAGATTATACGCATCTCAGATTACCACAAAACAGTTCGTAATTTTGATCTCTGCACTGTGTTCATCAAATTAGAAAAAGAAAAAACGGAAAACTGGTGCCGCGAACGGAGGTGGGAAACGAATGAAATTGTGAGGAAATTGAACATCCGTGCAGGAAAAGAAGGGAAAGGAAGCTCAGAAAAAAGGAAGAACTGCTGAGCCGAGCATTTCTATCATTTCTACCACTAATAACCAAACAAATAAACCGATATGGCATTCATCACAAATAGACTATCAGAATCTCATTTCAGAATCAGCTCGAGTTTGCATCCATTCTACCCCCTCCCACATCTCCCTAACGCAGATTACCTGCAACACCCTCCCATACCCTCTCCTAACATCCTTTCACATTTATTACCTATAATGATTCACAATGATTAATATGAAGTCATAAACTGTGATCAAGTTTAGTGGAATATTGGTAAACTTCATTCATCCATCGGAGGATAGGACCATCTGTATAAACGAATCACACAGGAACGCTGTATCTTATGAAAACAGTTATGAGGCACAGCATCTGTTCAGTATGCTGAGTTAGGAAAGTAACGAAATAATGTTTCAGGCTATGTTGCATTAACGTTCACATTTTACAAATTTTGGTTCGACAGTTGTAGAAAACAGAAACAATTTGATTTCGTAATGCTTCCACATACTGCACAAAACGGTTCGGTGTGATAACATGTATAGCAGGAAATATGTCCACAGGTAACATTCTTCACCGGTATCACAACTCTCTGTTGGCATTGTGTGCATACCGCTTTTAATAGATTTGCGTGTTCCTCATCCCTTTTATATCCTGTCAGCCCCCAAAAACAATTCCTGAGTGAAATCAAAAGAACCATAAGATCTCGAAATACACACCACATAAGCTTCCGATTGAGTGCTTCAAAATCCAATAGACCTGAAGTAAATTGAAATTTTGATGAGAAATTTCCGGAACTTCATAGATAAATAATAGCAGATATTTGTGGACTTTGTAATACTAGTAAATGGCATATGAAAAACATTCTTTCATTATTGATGTTTCCTTCTCCAATAGACTGTCTTATTTATTGAACCTTTTCAGCAAATTTCAAACTATTTGTTTTGAAAAACAACACTTGGAATTTTTTAAAATCTAAAACCAAGATTCACATTTTCTTCCTGCCGTCAAGTGCCTCTTTGAAGCATCCTTTTATTCTAAACTTTGGTTTCACCCTCCTTTAATCTCACTCATACTTCTTTTTTGTTTGTTCACTTAAGAGATGACGTATAAGTAACTGCAAACGGATATCATACTTCCGATGTATTTGTAGTTAAAATTACTAAGTGCAATAAAAAAAGAAAGCACTTGGCTTTTCCCAAGTACTTCATTTTATAAGAGTAAATTCAGCACAAATATGTTCAGAATATAGGAGCTGAATTTGGGGAATTGTATATTTCTTAATTTTTAGATAGAATTTACTATGTTTCCTATATATTATCGAGGCGTGTAATAAACAGATTGATAACGTGAGACAATCTTCATTTATCTTCGGAATTTCTTACCACCACGAATTTCCCAATAAAGCTATAGATTAGCTATAATAAAGCTATAGATCCTTTCTGGTTTATACATTTATACCTCCTATACGCATATTTCTTTATCAGCGAGTGGCACAAAAATTTTCCATTTTAGCTGTTTTAATTTATACAATTTATATCTAATTTTATAAAATAGGATTATGTAATGTCCAGTACTCATCTTGCCGTTCACTGTACTTCTTTCTCAACAGAAATTTAACAACAGGAATAAAATAAATTTCTCTTGTCAGTTTTTAGAATAGTAACTTTTTCAGCTGACATTTACTATGACTATCATAGGGGGGTCAAAACCGTTTTATTTTTCCTATCAAAAAATTTAAACAAATTGACAGATGATATCGTACCAAGTTTTTCCCTCGGTGCCACTTTCAAGCGCGTGATTTTTTCCGTAAGGTTCTGATAACCACCTTTATGATAAAAATGCAACAGCTGTAAAAGATCTGCTAAACGACAAATGGCAGCCACCTTATATATCCATCTGATGTTGTGGTTAGATGAAGAAAGCAAACGGTTTTGGATGTAAGGTACCAGGATCGAAAGTATAAAATGAAGAAGTGGTTGCCATTTAGATAGCTGGTCCAAGTTGCATCCTGGCAAATATTACAACGTTTTGGGCTAGTATTAACTCCTACAAATTTAACAAATTTAAAAGTCCAGAAGTTATTGACTCGTAAAAGTTAACACAGACCCACTTGCGTCAAAGCAATAACACCTGGCAAAAGTTTATGAGTCCTGATAACAAAGTTGATTTACTGATGATAAAAAACGCAGCGGCAAAGAAAACTCACCGCTCTTTAGCCGGTTAAACCATACAAGGGTATCGATAACTAAAAGAGCTTCATTCTGGATTTTTTCCAATTTGATAGCAACTGGTAATGGAAATTTACTTTTCCATTCCTTGAAGCCATTTTCCGCCGCTTGACGTATGGCCTGGTTCATCCTGTGATGGTCAAGACTGGCAACTCTTGTTGTAACTTCCATCAGGGCTAGTGACTATTTATCATCGAATCGTTATCGAATATTTTCTGAGTGCACCTATATCTAGAAAAGTTTCAAAGGAAGTCCAGCCAAGTTAAGAAAAGTTCTAAATTGAATCAGATTATCACGAACAAATGCATGAACTACAGATCTACCAATAATACAAAAGACTGCGTGAAAATTGAAGAATGTGAGGTTGTAATGCTGACCAGTCCAGCAAGCGAACTCGTACTGCATGCTGAATCCATTGTCCCCACATCTTGGAGTACTTAGAAATACCAGAAATTAAAGTGCGTCCGAGTGATATACGGATAAATGAATAATACAACGAAATTTATACACATATTAGCTTTCTATTCATAGCTTTTATAAGAAAATCATTTGGAACGAATTAAAAGTCGTACATTGTTAGACTAACACCATTATCTGGATACTAATCGGTTCACCTAAGTATACACTTCTTTATCCAAAAACAAGACATTCCATTTGTGATCTGATAAAAATATCGCCATAAAAAGATGATATCCTCAAACAAAAAACTGGCTGACTCTAACTAAAATAAAACAACCGACGATCAAATGTTGAACTGATTAAATTTGTACTTCAAACACTTTAAATTAAACACCTTTAAAATTGGCTAACTGGAGAAAAAAAAGATGAACTCGAAAAGAAATCCCCCAGTCAGAAATTTCTTGTTGTTACGAGCGACTTAAAAGATTGCCGTAGAACAGTTGAAACAATGGATTTGTATTTCAATAAAATAAATTTATAAAACAAAAATGTAAATATATCATCGATCAAAGTGATTAGCATTGTAAGCCTCGAGATCATAGAATGAAGCCTTAATGGAGCGACCACCAAAAAACCGTCCGTTTAAATCAACGAATGCTTTTATGGCTTGACCTACATTCGTAAATTCGACAAATATACGAACTGCCTCATCATCGCTGGCTTGAAGGAGCTAGAAATAAGCATGCATTAAATCGTCGTGTATTATAAAGTTACAACACCCTCACAACTTTAAACAAATTCTGCATATCTTAGCATTTATTCTTGGATTAGTGTTTTAACAACTCTCCGAATTAGAAAATATCCTTCACTCTGCTCTAAAATCTACATCATAATGTGCTGAAATGCAAAACAAGGTTGATTCACATTGTATCATCCCTCGTCATATGATATTCAATGACGAATGCACCACATTAATAAGTAGAATCAAAAAAGAAATCCCAAATACAGCTTCTGGAGAATTCTAGATTAATTTATTTACTGAGCCAAGGATTTTGCCGCCAAACCCCTGAGATACAGGTGGAAGACGTCTTTTCTTCCAGAACAAAAACATACCCTGAAAATGACAACTTTATTGACCTGCCCATATTTTTTCATCTCATCCTTCACTTCTGGCTCCAACTGATCATCAATTTCAGCTGGGCTGACCATATTCTGGAAAACTTTAGTAATAAAATTGGAAATGAAAGCTAAACACTAAGCAAACGGTTAAGCCAACTGATTTCTTTTTAATAGAAAGAAATGTTGGAGAATAAAAAGACCATTTTTACTTTATCTTCCCTCCACCTTAACCGTCAGCAATTCGTCGAGAAGATTACAGTAAAACTATTACAACCAAACTGACAAAGAGAGAAATATACGGTCGTGTGGTTTAGAAAGTTTTAACATGACATACCCGCAGCAACAGTATGCGCGATGATTGCTTCAAGGCTTCAGTCATATTCGCTGCTGGTGTTGCATTTATAGTGGACAATGGAGGAGGTGACACAGATGCTTCAGCTGCAATAAAACTGGTAAACATTCAGGGATCCAATCCAGAAACAGGAAACTTTATTAAAACAAAGGTCGGCCGGTCCAGGCTACAACTTTATATATGATATCTGAAACAAACCTCGAGCATTTAATTCGTGTTCATTCACTATCACCCCTGAATTCTTGCCCAGCCTCTCAACCTTTAAAGCCGTGCTCATTCCTTGACCAGATCGTCCCAAACCCGCACCCTCCTGAAAACAAAGAAAAAAAGCTTAAGAAATACCGCTATTGAACGCAAACAGTACACCTTAATTAAATAATAGCAAAAACCATGTGAAATTTGCGGCATAATATAGAAAACATCATCCTCAGATATCCTGAATTTACAAGACAAAAGTTAACGATTTTTTCTGGACCTTGTAACCAAACTTGGACATAATGTTAGCAGCAACCCCCAACCCCTTTCCAGCACCAAATGAAGGAATAAATGAGGGTGGTGGCATTTCAGAAGCCGTAGTGCCAGCGTCAGGGCTTGCTGGTGGTTCAACTCTACTGTCTTCTTCCATGAGAATTTTGGGCGGTGCAATTGCTGCTCCTGCTGTACGTTTTGCAATTTCTTCCTGATGCTCCCTGAAAAAAAAAAAGTTCAGACGTCAACTGAGATCTTCAAGAAATCAACTCATAATTCTTATCCCCCAAGCTCGAAAAAAAGAGAAACAGTAAACGTAGCGTGGAGCACACCTGTTTAATCTTTCAGCGATTTCCTTCGCAATTTTTTCTTTTGCTTTTCTCTCATCCATTTTTTGCTTATGTTTAGCATAATCAGTTGGAGCTGTAGGGTTATATTCATCTTCAACCAAAATTTCGCCAAAAAGAAATACCTACAAACATACTGAATAACGATTTGTTTTACAATAAAAACTGCTGATTTAACAATCCAATCTTTTTTCGTTGCGTGTGCTTATTGGAATATACCTTGTCTTCTTTCAGTGCTTTGGGTATGAATGAAAGCGGTGGTCCATCGCCTAGAGGCATTGCTTTATGAGGCCTTAAGAAAGTTGTCTTCGAGGGACGACTTTTTGCAGATAAGTCAACAACAGGTGTAACCACACTTCGCTGAAAAAATAAAATGCAGAATCACTTCAAAGGTATTACTTGTTCAGTGATATACCAATCCTTATAATCAAGTAGGACGGGTATACCAAAATGAAGAGCAACACAAACCTGCTGGGCTAATTGTGTTTTTTTAATATGTATCTGTGACTGAAGAAGTCGCAAAGCAGATGGAAGACCTAAAATGTTTTTTGCGAATAAACTAACGATAGATATAAGCACATTACAATACGGAAAAAAAGACGCTACATTACATAACAAAGCAAGGCATTCACTAAAGAAGCTAATATCCGATGAATATATCAGAAATTAGCACTGTAAAAAACATAATAAAGAGAAGTATGAGAATAAATCATTTCAGCTAATTTAATCAAAGAAAAACCTTTTTTAGATGAGCGACCATCGTCTGTCTTTTCATGGACTGGATCTTCGCCGAATATATCGTAAAGTGACATGTTTTCGACAAAATTTCACCAAGCAAGTAAAAAAGTCTTAATTTGCAAGTAAAGGAGTCTTAATTTCTCTTTTCAGAAGTATTTTCCCTTCAATCAGTTGGAAATCTCAGCATCTGGAAAAAGTCACATGTTCGCTAGAAAGCTATGACAATCGAAAATAGCCAGTCGCTTTCTGAATAAGTGGAGAAAAGAGAAGAAAATGACGATAACGAATAATCTGTCTGTCAGAACCCAATTTTTAACACCTAGCATAAACAATTTTAAATGAACATCAAGATAATCCGATCGCGAGACGGACCACTGTCCCTTGAAAGCGTCGGGCAAGTCATCAAATACCTAACATCAGTGCGGCCGAGCTGCAAAAGAAAACTGGAAGATTGGTCCATGTAGGGTGATCGCGAAGGGTTGTTGTGAGTTGTTTATTAATTTGAGAGTTTACGGAGATCTGAAGAGGTAGGTTGTCGGCGGACTCTGTGCATATTATAATAATAAACTCTGTTATCGTGGCACTCTTCGAATGATTCGAAAATGGATCAAAGATGAGATGGGAGCTGCACAATACAACAAAAGCATTATTTTTCCATGATCTTTATTTTCGTTTGCAGTAACTATGATTATAACATTACAAGACGCGAAACATAACAGTACAATACAATACATTACGGATAATAGTTTTCCGAATCTAGGACTACTTGTCAATTTACTTGTTAATCAATCCGTCATCGTATTCAAGTGGTCAGTACATTAATTGAAACAAATGCAATACTCGATATTGTTCTGATTTCTCTTCTTTTCTTATAGTTAGTTTTCATCCACGTAACCGAAAAGGAGCAACCGGTAAGATTTCTAGCCTAAGGAATTAGCTCGAGCTTTCAGGCTCGTCTCAATGCTACCATATTTGACGTGTGGTAGCATTGAGACGATGAGCCTGAAAACTCGAGCTATTTTGTGTTCTCTTCGTTGTCTGCTTTTGCGTAAATACAAATTTGATATTGAACGCTTCCCATTACCCTCGTTTTTGAGGTCTTGTGAAGAAGTTGGTGACGTAATAATTAATAAAAGTTCTCAATGTTTATGCTTTATGACAAACTGCCTTCGCATTTTTGCCTTTCACATCTCGTCTTATATGCGCCTTCAAGTCTGGTGAGTCGTTGCTTGAAATCGGATGACATATTCTGTAAAACAATTTATTATTGCAAAATGACTTATCCTGCAAAAGTTTTTGATAAGAATGTCGCGATGACGGAAAAGGGCTAACAGAGTTGCATATTCACCCTGAAGACAAGGTCGGATATTGATCATTGAAACCAGTTGCTGCTGGTATTACCACATAAATTATTTTCCTTTGCAGCTTTGGTTGCTTCTAAAACTTGAACAAAATGAATGGAGAACAAATCGGTAAGGCTTACATCAAACATTTCGTACAGTCGGTCAATTTCATCATTAAGTGCGTTAATTATCCTCGCAATTCCGTCAAGATGTTCCTCCAATGTTGAAGTGCTACCATAAACTTTCTCTGCATTAACTATCGTGTTATCCCAATAGCCGTCGTCTTGGAGCATCTTTATCGCTGAAGATTTCCTTTTTTATGCGACTTATGGGATTAGTTTATGTTTTGCTAGAAAGGAAACGAGAGGAAGATGATTTATCACAATCTCTCAAAAAGTCTTCTAACCTTTCTGTGTTAAATTTTGTCGCGCTTGAGGATATTCTTGTAGAACATCGTTTACGTCTTCCTGACGTAGAATGTAAACATCGGTGTATCCAACCGAGCGAATTGCCATGATATGCTTATTACCACCAGCTCTTCCAGATAAGTTGAGGATGGCCAACTGACCAAAAACTGCACCTTCCTTTAGAATTCCAAGGATAACCTTGCCATCGTCACTAACGCAGTTAAGCTGTCCACGTTTCACAATATACATTTCCTGTAGAAATACAATTAAGTATTTAAGAAAGCTAATATTTCACATGCAAAACTTTTTGCTTGTTGATATGCTTTAAAATCACTTTAAATTATTGTATTTCTGATAAGGCGAATTTTATTATAATGACCACACCCGCGCGAGTTCGCCGCGACGACAAATATAATCATTTGGGCTGAAAAGCTGGAATTTCAATCGAAGAATCAACTCGAAGAGTAATCCTTGTTCACAGCCCTAAATGGAAATATTTTAATATGCTGCTACATTGAAACATCACCAGAAGTTGCACTGGCGAATTGTTTAAATCATTTGTTTCTCGCTCTTTTAGTTGACAGCAAAATTTTGGGAAAAAATTCACAACAACTTCTGGATTACTTTCGAAAGTTTTATTTTCAGTTTTTTCTGAGAGTGGAATTAAATTTTCGGTCACCTGAAGTAATTCGACGTGTTGCAAAGTAACCATATGTAAATTTATTGCCAACTGGCCATGCAACTTTCTAGGTAACCCTTCCAGAAGTACCTGAAATCACGTCGGAAACATATGTTGAAGTTTTAGAGATCATTTCAATAAGCAAGAAATGGGAGAATGATTACACTCTCATCTTTCGAAATCCCTTGATCATGAATATAGTCGCAACAATTCAGGACCCGCTTCTGAATATCTGAGTCCACCTTCCTAAATATTAAACGTATAAGCAATTGAATATACTTTCATATGCAAGTTCTGACCACACAAATCATCTAATTTTGGAATTTTTCTGTCAAGAAGCCTAGAGACGTCAACATCACAAAAATAATTACCTGTAATTCATGTAAAATTTAATGCCATCCAGAATTTCCTGAAACTCGGATTTTTCTTTGTTCACTGTTGATATGATACTACCGACGGAGCCAACAATTACGGCAAAAATTAACAAACCAATCAGCGTATCGACAACTTCAAGCGCATCCTCGAGTGAACTCATTGGATAAGGCTGAAAGTTATCCTCATTCTCAAAAACTGCATATTTTTCTCATGAATAGTACATTTTTAACCTGAATAAAATCTATTCTTTAAGTAAAACTTTAATTCAAACTTTTAGAGAAAAGATTAAAAAGTGATGAAACTGTGATCCCAAAATGCTCGCACATTGATTTTCCAAGGAGGTTCATAACACCAAACAATTGTTTAGAACTAATCGCTAGTTAGGCTGTCAATTTGTGACCTAACCTTAACAGCCAAAATGTAGTAATGCTTTTCTTTTGTCATGAAATATTTATAGATATCACTCGTTGTGCTTCAACACTACCTATCTAGACGTCGCAAGCTTTGCATCTTGGTGGGCTCTTAAGGCTTAACATAACGGAAGAAATAGTTGCAGAATTAAAAAGCGGTTAAAACCTGTTGTCCTTTCGTTGTTAATGTTAGTGATGACCAATAGATTGACAACGCATATTCCTTACTGAAGTTTGGAAATGTCAAAATTTCTGACCTAAAATACACAAACTTGTATTCTCTGTAAGCGAAATAATTGTCAAAAGCCATTCGTTTTTTACTCTGAAAAAAAAATAAAGTTGAAAAATCTATAAAAAGAAATATCATCTACCTGTTTTGCCAATACTGCATCATTTCATCAATATATTCAAGGCGATTATTTACATTTCTACCCGTCTCATTAAAACTGCAACTTGTTGAGTCACCTATTAATAGGAATGTATTGCATTTCGGGATCACTGGATCAGCGATTTTCGTATAAGTGAACTGCCAAGCGTCAGGATCTTCACCTGAATCAATTATTTTGAATAGAGGAACAATTGGACTATCAGAATGTATTTCAAACAGTTATTCTCTCAAGTTCACGACCTAACCCTCCAAATGAAAAACCCATATTCTGACTGATATTACACGCAATTAAATAGAATTTTGAAATGATCAAATGAATAAACATACTGTCAATGCCACTAATAACACTAATTAGGAAATATGCAGCAGCGTTCCAGTGAAATAGCACAATACATGTCACTATTAGGAAGAATATTTTAAATGCATTTGGCCAATTTGTACGAATTTCAGTACGATCAATAAAATAATTGAAACGATACGATTTTAGCAAACGATTAAGGCGTATCAACGATATATCACCACGATAAATTAATAGGAAATCAAGTGGAAATATGCTACTAACATCCAACCAGAAACTATAGCTGAAATATTAGAATTTTAGTTCATAGTTTAAATCACAATCGCTACAACTCTCAGTACTTCCCAAACATCCACTGCAATGTGCATCACCAGATGGTAATGGCCGCATATCGGATACCATCATGGGTTAGTTTAATTAGAGTAAACAATGATGTTAGTTATCAAATTATGCGGTTTTATTTGTTGGTAACTTATAGGAAATTAATTTCCATAAATTTCTTATGGATTCTTCATTTCCATCATTTTTTCCACTTTTAGTTTCAATTTTTCATTTTAGTTGTTCGATTTTATTATTCATACTTTTTATTGTTATTCATATTTTACTCAAGTATTTTTAAGTATTTATCTTTAATTTTTTGTTAAGTGAACACAGATAAAATTGAAGGATTATTTTTAAAATGTTTATATGCTGTTACGGTGCAAGTAAATGCTCAGATATGTGTCGGAATATTGCCGATCGCGTCAATAATGAATAGCGCTTTGGCAGTGCTGTCCATGAAGCACCAAAGCAAATATTTTAATATCTTACATCGAACCGCATCTTTGTTATATAATTCACTGCATGGATATTAAAGGAAAAGAAAAACTTTTCCTTGCAAGAAAGAAACTTTTTCCAGCCTACAGTAAAGGCAAACTTACCTATGAAAATATCTCCTGGCTTGAACTTTTAGGTTTTCAGTAACTTCACCATCATGAATGTAATCTGTAACAAGTTTCATTTCTCTCGCCAGTCAATACGAACATTTGTTCTGCACAGATAGATTACAGTTTCACAAGATGATAATAAAGTTAATAAACATTTCTGATCGAAATAATTCGGAAAGTTGAAGCTCTTAATTGATTGCCACTAAGGTTTATAATTTATATTGAACCTCACCAAAACTTACCAATTCGTGACTGTATGAACATATCAATTAGAAATATAATATCGGATATAAAATTACAAGTTAGCCAGTAGTAAAAGTAATAGGTGTAAATTTCTCTGTAAACAAATATCACAACCATAAGTAAATTGTAAAAGCAGCCCGTACAAACAAGTGCTGTCCAGTAGTATAGCAAAGACGACGTCGGCTTTACCACAAAGAATATAATTCCTCTGCAAAGGGATTTCAAATGTTCCTTACATTAAATATAAGAAGTAATGATATATGGGACTTATTTCAATAACCTAGCATAGTCATCACTTCCGAAGATTTTCTCATCATTTGCATATATTTAACATTGGCAACTGAGGTCTACTAAATCAAATCGCTTGACTTGTGGCATTGTGAGGTGAGCCTTTTTTTTTAAGGCTTTTATGTGATTATGCCTAGCATATCATTAGGTAATGTGTTATATTGCACGATTCAATAATCCAAATTATCTCATTTTTTTTTAGAAAACTCAATGAAATATGCAGAAAGCGGTAGATAAATAAATAAATAGAGATACTTTGTTTTTTGTTTGAGCCTGTCAATAAAGCGATTATCCTTTGGGAACATCTCTGTTATAGCGGTTGTCACAATTGATGTTTTTGCCAAATTCTTCACATTCGCTTGCATAACTTTCGTTTTCTTATTCAACGTTTTGATTCAATTACGAACGACCTTTAATTTAAAAATTTATAGCCTCATGACAAAAGAATTATGTGGAACTGATTGGAATGGAGAAAGGAATAAAAAACCTTCAGAATTTTTTACAGAACATATGCTGCTAGTTTGAAATTATTACCAAGAGAAACCGTCGAAAATAGCACTGAAGGATTGGAATTTAAATCTAACATGATCCATTCATTTCATTACTCACTACTGTTGCGTTTTTTTTTCCTTTTTTGCATTTTTTAACATCGCTTTAGATTAATGAGTAAAAATTGATCAATAACTTCCATAGCTCAAATAAACTAACCGTAACAGTGGGGAAATTATTCAACTTCACAGTCTGATAATTGTCATGTCAGAGAGTGCTTAAGTTATAGGCGCTTTTCTGCGGGTTCGACGCTGAAACTTTGGTTCATATACCAATTGCGATACTCATCTGATATTGATTTGGTCCAACTTAAAAGTAGTAATTGCAGGTAAATATAAATATATTTTAGATGAAGAGTCCTTTCAAATATTTCTCCCTTTATTTATCCATGGTGATAATGTTTTGCTGCTTATTAATATAAGAATAAAGAAGTTCATCTGTTTAATCAACTTTTGTATCCAATGATTTTGGCCAGTAAAGAAGCAAAGCAATGCAATGTGTAGTACAACAACGGAGATTTTTCGGTAACTAAAACATAAAATTTAAAGTGTTTAGTAAAATTGAGGATATTAGTATATAAATTAAATGGCTTGATAGAAGGGAGGAGATGAAATTTAGTTAGCGATGTGATGATATAAATTAAATAGAAGCATCTTCATGTCACCTTGGAAACCGTTTTAGCCTTTCAGTCTTCCGCCCACAAATACCCAAGCGTGTGAACCAAACAAAAAGCAGATGATAGTAATGCCGTCCCTGAAATCTCTTTAAACGGTATTAAACCATTCATTTCCGGCATCCCCATTCCATCTCCATTGAAATAAATGAATAATATTTAATGTTGCTAAGACACTGGATCTGTCTAAACCATTATAAATTGTTTGAAACTTCCAAAATTTTTATGCCTATGTTTCTAATGTACATATGAGATAGCGAATGTTTTAACCGCCGGATATTTGACCCTCCGGATATTAAAATTCATATTTCACTGTGTTTTCTGATATCAAGAACAATTATTGGTGAACTTCAGTCATTTTTCCATCTTTTGCCATGCGAAAGTTTTTCGAGTCACGTTGTTCGGAAGGCATTTCCACGTTAATCCATGGTACCATTGATGATATCTATGTACCATTAGATAAATTGCGGTACTTCTCCATTTGATACCTCTAGTGGTTCACTAGAACCAACTGCATGGCGCGATAGCAGCATCGCCAAGTTCATCGATTTGCAAAAGTGAATGTTATGGGGCGCACTGCATTTCTTACTTGAACCGAATGCAGCAGCCCCATCAACAGGCAGCAGCAATTCTTGGTAGCAGTAGTAATAATAGTATAATATTAATGGTGGGAGTAACAATAGTTGCAGTAGTAGTAATAGTAGTAGTATTGGTAGTATCAGTTAGTAGTGGTCGTAGTAATAGTAGTAGCATTATAACCCGTGCACCCTAATCGGTCGGTCCAACAGAGGACGATTAATCGCTCGTTCCTTGTGCAGTGCTGCTCATCGACCTCTTCCGGTGGTTGTCGAGGACATCATCATATCCATTGTTTTCCTCTGCTATTGCTGCTCCTGTTACTGCATCCTGTCCTCTTCAATTCTTGAACTATACATATAGATAACTACAGCAGGGCTGCTACGTGACGTTTGCGTGAATGCTCTCGGCGCGCCTGATTTTTCTGGATTACCCTATAACGTGAATTTGTCATCGTTTGCCCAGTACTTCTTCACCTTACTTAATTTCTTACTGATAGCAAACAACAACAGCAATGATGACAAGTGCGCCACCACAAATTTTAAAATCTGTGGGCGACAAAACAAGGTTTGATTTCCATCAGTTACGCGATCAGCACGGCTGCATGTCAGAGCTATCATAGTTTAGTGTTATGGGATTCATGTGGCGTATGCTGCGACAGGTGTCACGGAGTACGTAAAGCAACCATGTTGTCATTTCACCTTAGCAATGCAAAGCATGAGGGTCACTTTACCTAAATGCTTAAGCAACATTTTCAACATTTTCTCGTCTTTTCCCTTTTCTGTCTTTTCTCACCTGTCACAAATATTACTTCGAGATAAACTGATAAACAAGTTTTATTTTACTAGCTGTCGTTAGTGATTTATTGATTGCGTGTATGGTGACGTATTTCGCATTTTAAGTGCGTTTGCAGGTATGCGCAAGATGAAATCTTGCAATATGTGCAGCTTTCTCCGGATGAGGATTACTGTATTCCATCAACAGCGAGATGCTTTCCGGAGCAGTATGTGCGGTGGTATTCATCTATTATATATTTTTTCTTATGGTCTAAGATTCCTCGAAATTGGCAAAATATATATTTATCAATTTCCTGTGATAGTACCATTACTTTGCGGCTTGTATTCCATGAGCATATTTTGGTGATAGTGGCTAGTAGGATATTTGTTAGTTCCCTTTTAGAAACTATGAACTTTTCTGTACATTTAATTCTTCAAAAGGCTTCATAAATTCCGCTCCAAAAGTTCTTGGTAGAATTTTGTTACGAGTCATTATCTTGCAGTCAGCTGTCATTTGAAGATCCACAAATGGACAAGTTGTGTCGGGAAACGAATGAGGCAATGTTCGAAGTATGTACTATCATATGGTTTTAATTGTTATACGCTTAGATGAGGAGGTTATAAATTCTGAATATTTAAGCGTTTTCCACTACAATTCTTTCAGATATCAGTGCATGAGAAGAAAAAATTTTCCAATTCTAATGTCTGGTGTTTTTAACGGTTTACTATAATAACTTAGATTTGAAAAAAAAAGATCTCATTGAACAAGTGCACTTGTAGGTATATGATTATCTGACCTTGAAATTAGAAGCAATGTTCAATGGGAAATCGGTATGTTAATTCTATATCTCAAATAATTTGTTGTTATGTCTGGTGTAATTGAATTGGGTAATGGTAATAGTAATACTCCTACGATATATGTATTGCTGAAATAATTCACCATATCATTATTTTATTTTCTATCAATATGAAAGCAGAGAAAGGTTAACGCATGTCGCTTCGCATTTCATAAAATTGAGTTTTGCAGCATTCGTTTCCACAATTGTTCACAAAAGAATGGGAGAATCATTATTCCTCATTTTGTCCAGAAAATGATTTGAGGGAGCGACGGAGGAACGCCATTGATATCACTGAAGCTGAAGAAGACCAGGTAAAATTCTATTTGTCAAATCTTTGTTACCAGAAGAACATGCTAATGTAATGCTCTTCATATATTTATTCTGTTGCAGTTTCAAGCGAAGACACCTGATGATCGAATAAACAACAAAAAGGATAAAAAAGCGGAAGTATGGTTTGCTCAAACGTCCCTTACGTGCGACTGACATAACCCTATTGATTTATTTTGATCGGTAGGCAAAATAAATCAGGAGACTGATGTCAGTCACACTCAAGTTTCCTGAATAAAAGATCAAAGACTCTATTTTCACAGTTGAGTCTTTGGCGGTCCTGTTACCTGGTAGTTTTTTGGATATTGATAAGCAAGATGATCTTTTCAGTTCTGAGTTCCGAGGCTTAAAAAAGTTTTTTGAAATAAGCCACTCACTCTCGCGATATCTTCCCTAGAAGTGAATGAATTTTAAACCAATCATTCCAAAAGGTTTGTTCTTGGGACGGGGAGTCCGGAAATAATAGATGGCACATCGAGATATCAAGGAATTCGTACTACTGACTAACTTAGCTACTTCATCACCTGACCGTAGTAATTTGATTACGTTATCACGTGGTTCTTTTTCACCTTGCATTGTAAAAAAATGCATTGTATTGGTCATTTTTAGGGCGAAGAAAAACGAGCACGGAAGCGGATTCAACGCGTCGATAAAATCGAGAAACCAAAGAAGATGAAGTGTGGTCGAGAATAAAGCCGATTTCTCAGAAAAAAACTCATTATGCATGACCTCATTCAGCTTGTGCATTGCGTACTTCAGGTTTATAAACCATTCATTCACGTCCAATGACGCAGTTGAACAAATGCACTAGGAAAAACCAATTATAAAACAGTCATACGGAATTGTTTACACTAATATGCATCCCCATCGGCATTTAACGTTAATTTCCAGCAGCGGTGATGTTTGATCGAAGGTGATAATGTTCGAAGAGCTGGACACTTTCTTGCTCCACACTTTCTTACAGCTGCTGTTTATGCTAAACGTGGCAGCACGGAAGAACTCCTTGTACTGTAATTCCAAGAAGGATATTCAGAGAGGAGACGGAACTCATGCACATTATGAAATTTTGAAGCTGGAACATGTGTGCATCATGAAAACATGGAATGCTCCCATCCTTATTTCCAGCACTGTTCGTCCAGCGGTGTGTCTGGACACACTTTAAAGAACATTCAGAAAGGAAGTCGAGGCGGAGGCGACTTTTTTTTTTTGAAATTTGTAACCATTTGCATTTTTCAAATTTTTATATGGGAAGTAGAGAAGCTGGAAAGTGCAATCCTCAGCACAGAAGCGAAACTATCAAAATGAATTCCTACATCTGTTCGAATTGAGTTAGGAAACAAATTGTTAAAAGTTTTTTATCAACTCACCTGAAAGAATGCTTTACAAAATAATGTCAACCAGCAGCCCGTGAAGCAGAATGCCAATCAATGGGTCACTTTTTCGAACAAAACATAACACAGCAAAAAAAGTATGGAGAAAACGAACGTGACAATTAGAACAGTGGAAGGACATGATAATCTACACTTATTTGTAACACAGTCGCTAGCAAATAAAGTAAACATGGCATACTCCCTCCATCAACAAATTTAATTGTACTTCATGCCTCTACATCTTAAAAACTTTTCACAAGAAAAAGGATTTCAATGATTTCCGTGGATTCCAATAATCTCCGACAACAGCCGGCAATCTTGATCGACAAATTTTAAATGGCTTGTAAAACCTTTCAGATGTTTTTACGGCATGTATACAGCCCGGACACTGGCGTTTAACCATCTAATTCTCGAAAAAACTTGGGTGCTGATGGGACGATCTGTTTTAAGCGTAAATGCTTCTCGCCCTGGAATAACGTAAAGAAATAGAAGGGCAAGTAAGCAAAGACAAAAGATAGTAAATAGGAGAGAAGAAATGTGGAAGCTATAAGAATACATGAATAACTGATGAAACCATACCAGAGAAACAGTGAATTGGGAGAAGTGTAATCAAAGCTTAATATTGACCATGATGAATTCAACAATGGATAAGAATACAGAAGCAGTAACAATACAAATAAGTGCAAGGACGGGAAGAGACTGATATCTGTGTAACAAAAGTAAAAAAACTAGCATTTGAAAGACAAGCAATACCTGAACCATACACGGCAACCGCTAGATGTTTTCATTATCCGTCATAACGGTAGTATATTCGGTTTTAAATGACAAAAAGGAAAGCCTTAATCATGCTGAATAGTTTGAATTACAAAACTAATAGACGACTAATTAATGATCGTTGAGAATTAAACGCTGCGCAAACATTGGTAGCAAAATCACCTGTGTCTCACACTAAAATAGCTTAAAACCTAGCACTGTAAGCCTTTTCTGAATGGCCCAAATGCTGTGGAATCAACGGTATAAGCTCCATAATGAATCCTAATATCAAATCTTTGATTTCTGAACTATAATTTTAATGACGGAAGCTAGTGAAGGTTTATTTCACAAAAAATGATCCTAATGTTTCCAATAAATTTTTTGACAGGCACGTCTTGCAGAATGAGGTTATTTCAAGTAATATAATGATAATATTACTATTATCATAATTATGATTATGGTTGTTACTATTACTATTATTGTTATTGTTATCATTACTGTTGTTATTATTGTTGCTATTATTATTATTATTACTATTGTTACTACTATTATTATTATTACTTATTACTATCATTGTTACTACTACTACTACTATTATTATTATTATTACTATTATTATTACTATTATTACTATTATTACTATTACTATTACTATTACTAATTATTATTATTATTATTATTATTATTATTATTATTATTATTATTATTATTATTATTATTATTATTATTA